CTATCCACCCCAGTCTTGCTGGTCAATGTACAGGCTCAATGGTGATTGTCCCGAGCGTTCTGACTGTCGGAACGCGGAAGGGGAAAATCATGACCAGAGAAGCTCCACTACGGAAAGCCTCAGCCTCTCGCATTCGAGGTCTAAATCTACAGCGAGGTTACAGCCTGCCAGAAGATTACTTCGGTCTATATACACACATCCAACGGATCGTCAGTGTATATTCGAGTCTGCTTATAGGAGACTAACTTCTGTCTTCATTTGAAATCATCATGTAGGGAAAATCCATGCTAGCATGAGCAAGAGTCGCGTCGAGATTCTCTACATCAAATGCCAGAAGGGATTGAGTTAACACCATCCTTGTAGTAGTTTTTGGATAGAAGTCTTGATATCGGCATGAAGCGGGAAAACGTTGGGCTCGAGGTCGACTATAACCATTCGGCTGTCAATGGTTGGGCCAGGATCAGCACAATAGAGTCGCTGTCCATCCCGTAGAAACGAATGGTCTTCTCTCTTACTGAGCGTGTTTTTGCTTTGTGACTGTGGTGAATCTACTGGAAGAAGAGGTACATTCAGAAAGGATTGAGGGGGATCACTCTTGATCACGAGTTGAAACGTGGAAGGACGGCGCCTAATCAAACCATCCACTTCAACTGCGCTCCGACTTTGGCTTTACCATTTACCAGCACTGATTATTCGACTTGATACATTTCACCACAAGTTCACCACCTCCAGTATGCTTTCGGGTGCAGAAAACTATGGTTTGCAACACCTGTGTTACAATTGTGGATAATTGTCCGTTTTATCACACACTTGACCTTCGTTCACATGGCCTTTCGTCTTTGCTTTGAACCTCCATATGGATAAAGTCGCAGAGCTGCAAGATACGGATATTTCAAAGATCCTTTTCCCCAGTGCGTCGTTTGCTTTCTCGATGCGGAACTCCTAACTAATTAGCTCCAAAGCAATCGGTCACTTCATACCAGTATTGGAGGAAAAGAGATCTCTCATTTTGTCCACTCCTCGACGAACATTCAAGTATGGGGAAACGGATAGGCATAAAGTGAGTAGCATCGAGATTTTACACGTATGTTCTTTGCTGATTATGGGCTAGCTAGACGTTTATTATCCATCCGAGCCCTCCCTTCATGGGGAAACGCCTATCTTGTTCTTTTCATACGGTGGAGGATACACCAGCGGCGGGAAAACGATGCCACCGCCAGCAGACCTCGTGTGTGCCAACATTGGTGCATACTTTGCTCAACGGGGCTTCATCACTATCATCCCAGATTACCGATTGATGCCAGTCACATATCCTATGCCCTCTCTCGACGTAAGGGACGCCATCGTTTGGATCCTTGAAAACCCACACTCGCTCAGCAACGGTAATATCGCCGATGCAGATCCTACCTCTCTTTTCTTTATGGGCCATTCTGTCGGCGCGGTTAATTTTGCAACGATGCTGTTGCTCTCCCTTCTCCCGGAAGACGTGCAGAGGAAATGCAAAGGCGTGATCTTGATCTCTGGTGGGTATACCTGCGACAACGAAGCAGTGGGACCTACATTCAATCCGGAGGTTGCAACGCAGTTTTTCGGTAGCCTGGAGAAAGCAAAGGAAAATACTCCGTTATCGCTACTGAATAAGCTCCCAAAAGACAAACTTGCTACTCTTCCTGAACTCTGCTTGGTAGAGGCAGAAAGAGAACCAGAACCCTTCAAACTGGCGGGGAAGCAATTTCATGAAGCTTTGTCGTCTCTCACGGGAAAGCATGTGCCCAAGGTCATCGGTCAAGGGCATAACCATATCAGTATAACTTTGGCTCTCATGTCGGGGCAGGGTGAACAATGGGCTGAAGAGGTGTTCAACTGGATGCAGGCAGCTCTCTAGCTATTGGCCTGCTTCGAGTTGCTCGGATCGTGTAATGTCTCATACAAGTTTTGTTTCCAAGATTTCGGTAAATTTATCTTCGTCGTCTTTCTCCATATACCAGGTTGTCTTCGGAATCTAATTTTATCCGGTTTCACTAACTGACGTTTCGAGCAAAACTCGGTTCATCCGTGTCCAAGTTGCTGCAAGCGTTCATGCTAATTTAGGTAGCGGAGGCTTTAAAAACTCCGTGAATTGACCTTGTATTGCGCCTCCGGATGTTGGAAAGGGTTTCTATTCGCTCACTACTCCATGCCGGATCTCCAGTGCTGTAGAGTCCGTAATTTTTCTCCCATGAAGCGTTGTAAAGCACCGAGCTTGACTCCCGACGATAATTTACCTCATGATACCTCATGAAGGCGCTAGTTTTTCTCATGTTGCCGCCACATTCCCTCGAAGAAGTTCTTCGTCTGTCTGTGCGTGTCTCGTTACTGTTACAATCTGTTGTTCAGCGAAGTTCTTCTTTCGCCTATACTTAACGCAGCGCATGGTAGCTGAGGTGAGCTGGTGACAGCTACAGCCAACTCAGTGTCCATTGCTGCTGCGTTGCCGCCACATTCCCTCGAAGAAGTTCTTCGTCGGTCTGTGCGTGTCGTTTGCTTTCACTGTGACAAGCTGTTGTTTAGCGAAGTTCTTCTTTTGTTGATATCTGAACGCAGCGTATGGGAGCTGGGGAGAACTGGTGACAGCTAAAACCGCCTCAGTGACCACTGCTCCTACATAATCTTCAACTTTTCTCCCATGACCCGTTGAAAAGTACTAAACTTGACTCCCGACGAAGTTCTTGTTTTGCTTTTATCGGATAAAATGCGTATCTGATTCCCCAATCCATCTGGTTTCTCTCATGACGCAGCCAGATTTTTCCCTCGAAGAAGTTCTTCGTCGGTCTGTGCGTGTCATGTTCGCTTTGCTTTCGGTTCACTGCTGGCCTGCTGTTACTCGCTGCCATTCAGCGAAGTTCTTCTCTGGCTGATACATCTACACAATGCACAAGGAGCCAGTGAGATGAAGGGAACTCATGACAAGGAGCATCGATATCGGGCGAAATAAAGCATTTGCTCGCCTCAACATGGAATTAATTCTCTTTAATGTTTCCCATCTCTGCCAGCTCATCTCCAGTCTGACGGAGAGCCATTCGCCTTCCTGCAATTACTGACTGACTCTTTTTTTTTTCCGGTATAAAAGGACCACCCTTGGGGCCAATCGTTAAGAAGCTTCAGCTCTTCCATCCTTGCACACTCTTCATTAAACCTGCGCTCATATGTACCTTCTTGGCTTGCACATCACTCCATTCGTCATGGAGGGCTTCATTGCTGCAACAACGTTTTTCTCACTTGTCTACGCCTACAACGAGCAAATCGCTGTAGCTGGTGTTGCCAAACGCGAGGGCGGTAACATCAAAGCCCTTCCGCGCGACTTTTTCGCTCGGATCGTTACTCCGATTCACTTTGTCGCCATGTTCATCACTCCCGTTGCGTATATGCTTGGAACCGCACTCAACGGGCTAGAAGAGCCTGAGTGGCTTGCCCGATACCACTTGCCTCGAGAATGGGATATGTCTCTTGGTGAGGATGGCAAGATTGTGGTTCGTGCGGCGGGTGTTATTGCTTCGTTGGCCGCCTGGAAGATGATGAGTGTTGTGTTCAAGTATCTCGGGTCTCAATGGCACTATCTAGGCGTATGTGGACTCCGGTTGAACAAAATGAATCTTGTGTACTGAATCTTTGCATATTGTCTAGCTGCGCGAGAAACCAAAGATAGTGTCAACTGGACCGTACGCATGGGTTCGCCATCCCCTTTATTTGTGAGAGTCTGGATTTTCTCGCTGGGCTTCGACGTGATAAGCTCACATTTGGCTATTTTACAGTGGTTTTTTGGCTCAAGAGCTTACGCAAATCCCAATGTACTGGTCGTATGCCCCTCTTATCGCTTTCGCTGCCACTGCCCTAGCACTCATTATCAAGATTCCGATTGAGGTCAGTAGAACAACCACATAACCAGAATGCCAATCATTGACCTTGCATGTAGGAAAACATCATCGAGAGCGACCCAATCATTGGATCCGAGTATAAGGCCTACGAGCAGAAAGTTACCTCTAGAGTTATTCCCGGGATTTATTAATCACTGACAATACTAGTACTCTTTGCTTTCGTCTTAAAGATCTCTATTTCTTTGCTATATGCCAACTTCATCCTCCTCACTTGCCTGCTACCTGTTCCTCTGTCCAAAAAATCGCCGGGATCCTAAAATACCCGTTTTTCAAGTCGGTCCTTTTAGCATTCAAGTTTGCGCTAGAAATAACTCTCCAAGTGAGCTGCCAGTCGCGTAGTATTAAGCTTAGTAGCAAGTAGGACAATGGCAGCTGGCCTATAGTAAACGTCTTCCTGTCTTCCTGTTTGTATTTAGGCCACAGTCATAGACTTTGCGAAAGTGAACAGGGGAAGTCGACGGATTATGTTACGTTGGTTCGTGCTTTCTATGACAATGTCGAAGCTATCGACCTGATGCAAGTGGCAGGTTCCGCCTTGAGGAGCTTAAAGTCCTCCTCGAACCAGAAGAAGACACCGGCGACCAGGTCGAGGAGGCTCAGGCTGGCACTGAGCGAATAGACAAGTTCTCTGAAGACCTCCGAGTCAAGTTGGAGCATGATTGCTAGGTGGGAGCATAGTGCTACGACTTTAAGTATATGAACTGGCCTGTATCAACAGGGTGGTTATCTCATTCTCTCTAGACCCCTAACTTCTCCGGCGTAAACGAAGAAACCCTCACAAAACTGAATATCGTCGAAGAATGCGATCAAAATGCGATGATCTCATACTAAAGTCTGATATTGAGGAGCGCAATGAAAAGAGCAAAGTGATTGGGAAGGACGAGTTCTGGTCTTCTAAGCACATATATCTCCATCTTGCGCTACTGGAAAGACTTGTTCCATGGAGAGAAGCGAGTCCAATCACGCATCGAGTAGTTTCATGCTGACGAGATCAAATCGCCAGAATGAAGCAACTTCCCGGGTTGATGCTTTTTCCGTGCATTTAAAAAATTATCATCATAAGAAAAGTTGAATCTTGTAGCATTATGGACAAATCCGGATTTGAACCGGAGACCTTTCGCATGCAGGAATCATTTACACTTTCATGCAAAGCGAACGTGATAACCCCTACACCATATGCCCATACATGTTACAAAGTGTAAGTCAGATTCAAGGTACAGTACTTAGCCACTCCTTTGGCTCACTGTGCATAAACTACCAAGATTGGTACTTTACTGAGTATTTCATATGTACACCCCATTCTGCATGTGGTTCTCGCATCTTTTGAGGTGCACTTTGTGCTTGAAATAATGTTTCTACAGTGCATCTATCTGGATGATGTGACTTATCCTAGGTTCCGAGACCTCTGTAATATCACATATGACACTCAATGAACACTTTCACTATTTTCATCAAGGGGGTCCGAAAAAATTAATTTTCCAGGGGTCGGAAAATTTTCTTCAGCCTCGGCGCTGGACCCTCCCTCCCTTCATATGATTTTTTGGGTCATGTGATCACCAAATAAGGCAGCTATGAGACACTGATCACCATTTCACCTTGCTGTGTTGGTCTTTTGCTCTTTGTACATGCTCTACATAAGTAATTAGCCTTTGTGAACTCTTCACCTCACTCTGGATGCCATATATCTCAAAATATATTAGTCAAGGTCAAGAACTGTAAGCACTCATGAAATGACCTAAAAAGGCAATAAAAAGGTATATGCTCACTTGATGCTCATTCTACAAAATGTAGCTGGTCTAAATATACTTTTCAGGGATTCTTGGGCTTATTTGACTCATTTGGACATCACAAAAATGCATTTTGAGGGTCAGTCAAAAAATGTTTTTTGGGCCTCACAATGGACCCACCCTACACTGCTGCACCAATCCTCTCTGATTTTATGAGAAGACAAATGTGAGAAATTTCTCAAAACAGGAATTTGCATATTTTCTCATATTTTGTGCAAAATTTCTCAGCACCGCTGATTCTGAGGGAATTCTCATTACAATTCCTGATATAATCGAATAGTTTGTGAAAACTCTCAAAGTGTTTTGCATAATATCTGCGACCTGTGTTTGTAAAATTTATGAGTGTCTCACCGCTTACATATCAAACAAAAAAAAAATCATCAAGTCGAACCATCTCTGATCCGCACACCCAACACAGTGAATTCTCTTCACCTCCTCCATGACCTTCTCCATTTCCTCCGCCGCGAAGCCCACAACCCATTCCATTAGTTGCTCAAGAAGTCAACAAAGGGTACATCAGCAAAACCGCAGATGCGTGATCCGCATGAAGGCACGTCAAATATACCGGATCATACAAATTTGGCTGTGTATGTATAGGGCCCCGAGTGCATATCCATCACGTTCGATTATACACGATTACAGCCCCTTTTCTTGTTCGTTTATACCCTCAAGTATGCTCCATTATACCCTAATATACTGCAGCTTTATACATTCAATATCCCACCTCTTTTGGCCTGATTATACATTCATACATTTCAAGAAAGCAATCAAATCAATGATTTATTGGTCTATACAGCAATGACATGGTACAAAAAACAGCTATGTACAAAGACTACGAAGTTGGCATTATCCTGCAAGGCTCCCAATGCCAGCAGAAAAATTCGAAACTGAATAAATCCTGTATAGGGAACTCCATGGAAATGTACCCGAGTCAGGATGAGCTTGCAAGAAACAGACAGCAAATAAATACTCATGCAAGTGTGTCCAGGGCGCCCAAAGTATGGCACCACGACCTCAAAATCCTCACGCGACAGTCAAGATATGTAAATGGAAGACTTTACCTTAAACGCCCGATTAAATGGCTATTGTTTGCAGTCTAGCGCGTGGGAGGCTCGCTGGTTGGTTTGAGCATGGAAAAAATACGCACTGCCACAGTGAGAAGAGCCGGCAAGGGAGGACTTGAGGAAAGAGCCAACGGGGGACAGCACCTAAGAAATTGTGTTTGAGCAGAGAGCTTCAAGAAGAAAAAAATACGCACTGCCAAGCGCACTGCCACAGTGAAACTGCCGCAAAAATTAGAGCTGGTGAGGACTCAGAGAGCCAATGGGGGACCAACACCACAAGAGATAAGTTTCTTCACATCTTCCGTAGGCTTTACATTGCAAAGGAATCCTCCTCCGAGTAAAACTGCGCAAAATAAAAACAGTATAAGCTGTGGATATTCACAGTGAATGAATTCACATACCTGGCGCGACATTGGAATGACTCTGCAGTGATATTTAAATTGAATATCAACCTCGGAGAAGACATAAAAAAACACCTTGAATGGACTTCGATGATGGAAGAAAGGAAGCAAGGAAGCGCTGACTTCCAGAATTTGATTGAACACAATTCACGTGAGACTGCATAGTAGCTTGTGACTAATGTCGGAGTTTCAAATGACTTGAGGATTCTCTTTTTTCATCACTCTCTCCATACTATTGTACAATATTCTTACTCAGATTCTTCATGTTAAACATGGGGCATACTACAATTGAATAGTGATTGGCTTCTACTAATCGGTTGAACATCAATGTATTTACTGTACTAGTTTGGTCCTGAGTATTGTTGTATGAAATGTGTATAAACCTGGTATAAATCGTGTATAACAATTATACAGCCAAAGGAAACTCCGCTGGGCCGTGATCGCGTATGATTGTGTATATCGATTACATCAATCTACCAATCATACGGAATATGATCCGGTGGTTTTGCTGATGTATGTATCTTCAAGCTGTACATTCTAAAGCTTCTAACATCTATTCCTTTCAGTCTGGCTAACACCTCCAAAAGCTCTGGGGGAGCTTTTCATTGCCAGGAGTCAAAAAGGGCAGTGGCTAGTAGTATTTGGAATGTTTAAATATGTTTAATATTTGTTGGGCATGTTCTTGGATGTTTAAGTATAACTGGACCAGATTGCTCTTCCTCCAATACAAACCTCCTTCCTTGCATTAATTAAACCTTTCGGATTGAATCTGATCAGAGTGATTGTTGTTTGGTTGGTTTCCATACCTAGCACAAATCTAACTCATCAATGCACTTCCATTTACACTCAAGTATCTCTATTTATCAAACCTCATCCTCCTATGCATACACCAATTCTTCTTCAAATACCAATGTGTTTGTGTTGTCTTCAGTAGATGGAACAGGAGGTCAAGGTTAACCCCTTCCTGAATGGATGTTCTTACTGTTGAATAAAAATGATTAGAAAGAATTACAAGGTGCATTTCTTTCCATTTTACAGGACCCCAGAAGCTCCTACTGACCCTTGCCCAAATTAGTGTAAATCAGGCCACAGACAATTTCCCTCTCCTAAATTAGTGTAAATTAGGCCTCAAATGACAGGTCCTTCTCTGGAGTTAGTGTAAATTGAGGCCCACTGAACTGAAATTTTGATGCTCTTATACCAAGTTAGTACTCAGAAAAACCAAAATAGTCAGCCCTCTCAATCAAAATACCAGCTAGGTTAGCATAATGGTCCAATGGACACTGTGTAACATTCACAATGGCACTAGGATTTTTTTGAATTTTTTTTTGGGAAAAAAATCAGAATTTTTGACTTTTACATGATCATCCCTTTCTGAATCAGAGGCCAAAAAGTTAGTGTAATTGAGGCCCTCCAGCCCAGGCAGAGGTCAGTAGGAGCTTCCGGGGTCCTCATTCTATGCTCACATGTGGATGCTAATCCTTTCCAGTTGGATGAGCCTCTCACAGAGCCCTACACATGTCTTGTCTTCCCTCTCATGCTCTCAAGCTTGTCATAACCAAATTTGGAGCTATTCATGAGAGGTTTATACAATGAAACTGATGATAGGACTTACCATGTCCCACCCCAGAAAGCTTCTAAATGGCATGGTATATTGGGCCAACATTTCCAGCTTTCCTCAGAGCTTGATGTAACAACACTGTAGCTGTACATCAAGGAGGTTTAAATTCAACTATCTAAGCCTTCATTGGCCAATGATGTTTGACTGATGTATGCAGTGGTGTGTATCATCTCAGTCTTGCGGTAAAAACTCCTGCAGTGTTCCAAAGAGCTTTCCACTTCAAGCCACAACTTCGTTTACCAAGAAAAGTGACATATTCTTCTAATGAGATACTGAACAATCATGTTTTAGTTCAACTGCCAGAAAGAAGCTGTATATAATCACATTCTGTGCACTTGAAACATAACTTGTTAGTGAGTCCTGAGTGCATATAACCAATCTGATTCAATTCACTGTTCCATTACCACTGGAGACATTTCCCATTGCAGCTGAGCAGCCATCATGAGCAGCACTCATTTTGCTGCTGAGCACTTGCTGCCACTTAGCACCATATTAAAAAAGTCCAACAGTTTCTCAGCCATCTTGTTGCACCTAGAATTGACTCGAAGAGTACATTTCCGATCTTGTTGTATGGTTCTGGAGCATGTGTTAATGTACTTACAGCTGACACACCTGTGAACAATTGTATCCTAGCATATAATGTCAATAAACCTGAGCTTGATACCTGGCAGTGGCACCATTGCTCTTCAAAACATCCATAACCACTTACAAGCTTATTCTTACCTCAACTTCAACCCTTGAAGCTCATTTGATTTTATTTACACACTTTCAAGCTCAATGGACAGCTTCGATTTGAGTCTGGGTCCCCTTGTTGGATGGGCCATCAGTGCATTGTAAGCATCCTGCAGTAATTCTGTAATGGCCATTTTCAAGATGTCCCTCTCCAGCTTCCAAGGTGTATTGACTCTACAGGCCTACAACTATTTTGAAAACTTCCCCAATGACCACAAGGTCATCAAATATCTCATACTGTATGTCAAACTTGTTCAACCTCAGCAAAACCTGGGTGTTCTGTACAGAGCTGTACAGCTCTGTACAGAACCCACAGCACTCATAGGACCCATGGCAAGGTACCCCTCTGTACAGAACTGTGGGATGCTATGGGTTGCTGTGGATCGCTGTGGACTTCGCGGGAACGCCGCCAACAGGATTCTATTCAATATTGATTCAATACCAAATCTATTATTCTTTTGAATTGTTTCCCTCGCTCGCGAGAGCAAAATACTAGAGAAATATTTATAAAATCATTTTATTGGCGGTTCTAAACACTATTAATACTACAACATACATACTTGACTCATTCACCAGG